TGGATGGCTCTTGGATGGAGGCTGGTCACCAGATAGACCATGCTAAGATTTTCTAATTTTCAACCCCAACCCCCACTCCCCAGAGATGGCAATGGTGTTAATGATCTATCATGTCTAAATGATGAAGCCTCCATAAAAATCCCCAAAAGTACGGAGTTTGGAGAGCTTCCAGGTTGGCGAACGCGTGGAAGGTGCTGGCAGAGTGGTGTGCCCGGAGAAGGCATGGAAACTTGATGCTCCTTTTCACGTACCTTGTCCTATTCATCTCTTCCATCTGGATGTTCATACATCTGGATGCATCCTTTATCCTATCCTTTTATAATGAACTGATAAACAGTAAGAAAACTGTTTCCCTGAGTTCTGTGAGCCCCTCTAGCAAATTAATCAAACCAAGGAGGAAGTCGTGGGAACCTCTGATTTATAGTCCACCAGTCAGAAGCACAGGTATTACCTTGGACTTGTGATTGTCATGGGGGAGGGTGGTGGTGTCAGTCTTGTGGGACTGTGCCCTGAACCTGTGGGACCTGATGCTATCCCCAGGTGTAGTGTCAGGATTGAGCTAAATTGTGGGACACCCAACTGGTGTCACAGAATTGGTTGGTGTGGGAAAAACCACACACACCTGTTGTTAGAAGTGTTGTGAGCGTGGCAGTAGTGCGTGAGTAACGGAGAAACACAGGTGGACGCCTGAGGTGTTTCCTACTCAGCACCGGATAGGCCAGGGTGAATAACAGACAGTTCTTTCCAGTCTGGAGAGCCTCACAGTCCAGGGGAGAATTTACATAAACAGGTATTTATACGATTGGATAATAAAGAGCTGTGATAGTCAGGATGGTGAGAGGAGGGAACTGAAGCAGATGAAGCGGGTGAAAAAAGCGAAGAGGGGAGAGGGCAAGGAGTGAGGGTGAGGGCTGACGCTGTCTGTCCGCTTAAACCTCACAGCGTTTGTTTATAAAGGGCCAATCATTCATTCATTCCATCAAACTGTATTGGATGTCTACTACTGTGCCTTGCCTTGAAGATACATAGATGAGTTTGGTCTCTTAAAGACCAAATAAGGTTATGAACTTGTGAGGCTGGCCAGCAAATTTCCAAACTCAAGCCCCTGACGAGTTAAGCCATTTCAAAGCATTGGGAATTTGTTTCACAGCTCCTTCTCTCTCTCTTGGGGACACAGCAACGAAGGTTATTGTTGTACAAACTGGCTGCGATTCTGAGCCAGAAGATTATGTGACAGTGGACTCCCTCATCAAACCTGCCACATATTTCCACCTGCAGAGTGCCCCGATGTCCTTGGAATGGGTAAGTGGCATTTATTCTTAAACAAGTCGCTCAGCCAACCAGCCCAAGTACAGCCAACAGGTGCTGGTGGGGCCTTTAATCTTTCAGGACCCGACCTTGGTGTTCTGTGGCCAGTTCATTAGGAGGTGAGCAGCTGCCCAGGGATGCATTCTGGAAGAAATCGGTGGTCAGCTGAGTGGGAACCCAGGGCCCAGCCTAGCAGGGGCCTTGTGTTTCACATCTCGTCTCCAGCTGCTATCTGGTAGCAGTCAGGTGCAGGTCCCCTTAAACTCCTGCAGGTAAGTTATCTTTCCTTTGTGAGCCTGTGTAGTCACCCAGGGAGGCTGGGGTTTTTATTTTGTTTTGTTTTTTTCTGTAAGTGGAGTGGTTTTATGTGTATTCAACCTGTAATGGCTTTGGCACCTAACCCTCCACCCCACTCCTCATTTGGTATTTTGAGGAAATGCTGCTCATAGGTGTAGTAAGGTAGAGATGGAGAATTAATTCCAGTCATGTGCCCATTAACAACGTTTTGGTCAGTGAGGGACCGCACATATGACAATGGTCCCATAGGATTGTAATGGAGCTGAAAAATTCCTCTGGTGTAGTGACATCTTACCCATCATAAGGTCTTAGCACAAAACATTACTCACGTGTTTGTGGTGAGGCTGGTGTAAACAAACCTATTGTGCTCTCAGTCATATAAAAGTACAGCACATACAATTATGCACAGTACATCATACTTGATAATTATAATAAACGACTATGTTCCTGGTTTATGTATTGACTATACTATACTATATTATACTTTTTATCATTATTTTAGAGTGCGCCTTCTACTCATAAAAAAGAAGTTTGCTGTGAAACAATATGCCACGTTCCACTTGGAGCAGCCTCATCCATCTCGTGTTCACCGCGTCTCTTGGTTGCATCATTCTCTCTCGTGCTTGATTTAATGTCGTGTTGCTTTGTACATTAGCATGTTGTACAGGTTTGTGCTAGGTTCCGTAGGATACACCATATAGCCAGGTGTGCGGTAGGCTGTACCATCTATGGTTGTGTAAGTGGACTCTGTGATGTTCTCACAACGATGAGATCGCCTAATGGCACGTTTCTCAGAACATATCCCTGCTGTTAAGTGGCACATGACTGTACTGGATTTAGCAATTTGGTCATTGGTGGCCTTGACAATAGCAGTTTCAGTGGAGTGGCATGGATCCAAACTTCACATTTCAAGAGATTCTAGGCAACTCTTCTGAGGAGCAAAAATGGAGCAGAGAATTGGAATAGAGCTGGAAGAAGATAAGGGGTGAAGAGTGGATTTTTTTTAAGATGGGAGAAATCGTAGTGATCTGGTGAGTAGTTTGGAATAATCCAGTAGAGGCAAACTGATGATGCAAGAAAGTGGGGGGAGGGGGGTGATATTGCTAGAGACATATCCTTGAACAAGAAAGAAGACAAGGAACTTTTAGTGATGTGGCAGAGCTATGTAGGGGAGGAAAAAGTTTTCCTGGACCGTCTTAGGGCCCTGGAGAGGTCTGAAGTTAAACTGACAAGGACATTAACAGGAGAAAAGCATACACATTTATTTATTCTAAGTTTTATGTGACAGGGAGCCTTCATAACGAAATGAAGACCTGAAGAAATGGTGAAACCTGAGTGTTTTCATGCTATGTTTGATGAAGAGTGGACAGCTGTGTAGACCTAGGATAGAAAAAGACCACGAGATACATGTAGGAAACTGGGGGAGACTTGGCAAAACCTTTTTGTTCAGATTCTTCCTGGTGAAGCCACCATCCTGGAGATAGGGATGTTCTTTTCCTCCTGGCATAGAGAGGGCACTTCTCACACCAGGGTCCTATCACCTGCTTCAGGGGAGGCGGGAGGGGAGGGTCAGAGAGAATGTCCAGGTTTTGCCATTTTCTCAAACTTCTTCAGCTTAAAATATTCAACAGGCCACATTTTGCGGTGCTATGTTCTGAACACCGTCAGCTGGTTGTGAAGTAGAGCCATGGTTAAATTTTTATACATTTACAATGAAATAAACTATATTAAAGAGGGTAATGGGTATTCAAAACTCATCCCGTTCTATGTTGCTACACTTGCCATGGTTTATGTTCCTGTGGTTCTGTCCACTGTATGTGGATGGTGGAAATGCCACACAATGGTGTCCTCCTTACTTCTAGTCCCAGCTCCGCCAGTGACATCACATTGGTAGTTTGAAATTGGCCATAGTGGGAGGATTTGCAGCCCAGAAATTGCAAGCATTAGAGATCAGGGCCTCGTTTTGTTTGTTTTTTAGAGGGAAGCTGTTTGTTAATCATTGGCCAGCCCACCCCTGGATTCAGTGCACCCGTGGAGAGACTGGCCCTAAATTACGGGCTGACAGTTCATCCACAAGACCAGGAGAGAAGGTGGGGCATTGTAGACAGGCGGGTGGACAGGTGCGGTAGACACAGCACACCTAGTTCCCTATTTACTAAGTGAAAAAGGAAGCACGGTAATCACCTGAGAATAAGGCTGGGAGGGGGAGGTATTGGAAGTTTGAGATGAGAGGACTGTGAGACAGTAAATGGATTAGAGAAATGTAGTGTTTTTATCTGGCACCCCTTGAGGTTAGTGGTTATGAATTAAAGAGGCCTGATTCAATGAGTGTATATTTCGCCCGCAAGTCTCTTTCAGCGGCTTGGGTGACACAGGGAGTGAGTGCACAGCTGGATTTATCCAAAGCTTCGCTTTTGCTGGACCATTATGATTATGTGTGTCAGGGGCAAGTGAGATGATAAAACTATAAATGTAAAAGTCACCACCTCACAGACCTTCCTTATACATCCTCGCTAAAATCATGCCCTGCCCGCTGTAACTTTATGCATTCTCCTGTTTATTTTCCTATTTTATTGGGCATTAAGTCACCTGACTCGCGCATCCTACCTGACAGCGGGGACCGCGCTTTATATACGGTTGACTCCAGAGCTTCCCACAGTGCTTGGCGCATAGTAGGTGCTCAGTAATATGTTGAATAACTTATTTGAATGAATGGATTCACTTGCTAGTTCTCCAAAATCTGCACAGCCGCGTGTACAATACTCAAAATTCCTTTCGAATCCCTTTGCTCCTTGCTCCAAGGTGTTTAACCTTTAAGGAGCATAGGGATTTTTGGAGCCAGATATGCCAAGCCACGGTTCTTTATTTCCTGGACACTCCTAGGTGACAAGGGCAATTTTGACTGTTCTGGAGACCAGTCTCAATCCTGAGAGGCAGCTGCCCGGTCGTGTGAATTGTTGGCCTTTGTCACACCAGACTCAGCTACACCGAGGAGAGTTCCGTATATTACCACTCCTGAGCTTCAAGGGTGGGTAGTTAATATATATTTATTACTTTTATAGTGTTGCCAACAGCGGCTTAAGGCTGACTCTGTGGCTCCAGGAGAAGTGATGACACACAAGCAAAGGCCAAAGCTGCAGAGTATGACATGGAGCCTCCTGAGGGGCAGAGAAACTGCGGTCTGCAGGTGTGGTCTGGGGGGAGGGCCGGGCCGCTCCGGGCGCCTCTGGGCGCAGGCCGCCCCGGCCCAACTCGCTGCCAGCGCACCTCCGGAGCCCCGCCGCCGACACCGGACGTGGGCGGAAGGGGGCGGGAGCGGGAGCGCCTGTCTGTTTCTCCGAGTGGACAATAAAGTTTCGAAAGTTTGAAAAAGGAGGAAAAAAAAAAACCAAAACACCACCCCACACCCCTTTGGCCGCCCGGGTCTGGACGCCAGCGGCCCGGGCGTTGCTCTGGTGGCCCTGCGCTCGCGGAGGCGTGGCCGGCGCGCGGGTATGGGGGTCACGGTGGAGGTGCACCAGGTGTACAAGTACCCCTTCGAGCAGGTGGTCGCCAGCTTCCTGCGAAAGGTACCCGCCCCGCTCTGGCCAGGCCGGGTTTGCGCTCTCCCGCGCTGGCTCCGCCGGGCCGGCTGTGTGCGCTCCAGCCGCCCGCTGCCTGCTCCTCTCCCCTCTCCCTTCCTCCCCGCTCCCCTCTTCGTCTCTCTCCGTTCTTCTTCCCTCTCCCCTACGTACCCACCATCTCGCCCTCCAGCTGCCGGTTTCGCCTCTGGGATGTGCTGGATGAGGGTGGGGGCGGATTTCCTCGAAGGCTCCCCATGTGGCGTGCGGGACAGGCGCCGTGTGGGGCATCACGTTCGCACCCTGTGCCAGCCGAAGGGAGAGGCTCGTGGGAGAGTCACAGGGAGCCCAAGCCCTGGACCCCTGCGGAGGCTCCACACGACTTGTCGATCTTTCTAATACTTCAGCGACCCCTTAAAAAGTCAGTGGGAGGCATTGAAGCCATCATCCTGGTTTACTCTGCGTTAGTTTTCTACGGCCTCCCCCACCTGTCTCATTGTTTAAACAGCTGTGGAGATTTGGGCAGATTTGTAATCTGTGAAATGGGGGAAATAATAGTATCGACTGAAAGGGTTTTCTTGTGAGGAATCAAGTGAGATAATTCATGCAAAATGCTTATCACAGTGATGGATGCTTAGTAAGTCCTTTAAAATGTTGTTCCTACTGCTGTGCCTGAGCACCCCAGTCTCAGTGCTCAGTGCCCACTTTCTCCCAAGGGCTCTGCCAGGACTGTGGTGTCTGGTAATAGGAGAACGGGAAATTTCAAAAGCACCCAGGCCTGGGAGGTGGGGACCCCTGGTCTGGCTCTGCCTTTAGTTAGTTCACGTGATGACCTTGGTCAAAGGTCATTTTCTCTCCAGGCCTCAGTTATCTGCATCTGGGGTGAGTGTTGTGCCAGATCTTTTAGGTTCCCCTTTAGCTTTTTTCATTCTTAAGCAGGATCTGCAAGAATTTGGGTTAACGGTAGCCATCAGGCGGTGTGCCCCATAGGCCACTTGGAAGTCAAACTAAGGGAGATGACTGTTTCCATTTAGAGTTTTTTTAAGTGATAAGACCTGACTTCTATGAGAGGGGGGTGACACATTTGGCGGCCCACGTCAGGAAGGAGTGGTAGTTGGCTGGTGAACCTGGTGTTGCCATGGAGGCCTTTTTGGGGAGGAACATCAGCTTGTTCATTGTTCACTTATCTCCATTATCTAGAATAGTGCCTGGCATCTACTAGATGCTCAATAAAAATTTGATGAGTGAATAAATGAATGAAACATGAATTATGGATCTGGTGTAGACTTTGTCTTAGGCCAGTCTTCTAGGCCCAAGAGAGAAACAGCAAACACCCCATTTTTTTTGTTAGGACTGGCATGTTGAAGGGATTCTGTAATG